CTCGAAATCCACACTGTGATTCTGGATAGACTCTGTCTGCAAGCACCTGGAGTGTCATCAGCACAACACGGGCAAGCAGCTTCCCTACAACACTGAGAAGAGAAATGCCACGGTAGTTATTGCAGTCGCCCCATCTCCTTTGTTCTTATACAATGTGACAATGTTTGCATCCTTCATGTCCTGTGGTACTCCACCTTGCCTCCATAAAAGACAAAAGATTTCATACAGCTCAGTGGTGATGATCTCTTTACAGCACTTCAGCAGGGATGTTATCCTTCCCAGGTGCCTTGCCGGAGGTGAGGAAATCCAAGGCAACTTTTATTTCTGCAAAAGTTGGTTCGCTGTCCAAGACTTCCAAGACAGGCAGGCACTCAATGTTATTTAAATGCCTCTTCGGTTACTATGTTTCCTCTAGAACAGGGGCCTCAAACATGCGGCTCGGGGGCCATTTACGGCCCGCCGGATGATGGTTTGAGGCCCCCACCTTGCCTGCCCCCCCCTGAAGCGCCCATGCATCCTCTGCGGTCAAGAGTCAAAAAAAGCCTCGCCTTGCTTGATGGCTTTCTCCCAAAACAGCACCTCTTGCACCCTCCCTCGGGAAAGTCAGCCGACCTGTCTGCTGGCTGGCAGGCTGAAGATCCAGATGGAGGGTGCAATAGGCACTGTCTTGGGGGAGAGCCAGCAAGCGAGGCGTGCTGCCGGCCCTTTTCCACAAGCGCCCAAGCTGCCGCCAAGCGATGCCTGAGAGTAAAGCTCGCTCCTGGCCCGTCCTCAAAGAGCGCCTCCAAGCTGCCAACAGCAGCTGCCGCCGTGTCTTCCAGGGAAGCTGCTCTCTTTCTCTCTCGGCACCCCCCGAGCACCAGCCTGACCAGCGGCCACCTCAGCGCCTGGCAGTGCCTCCTCCTCCTCCTCCTCCTTTTTGTTCTGCTTCAGCCACCTTGGCTCTGGAGGTTGCCTGGGCTCACCTTGCAAAGTTTGCTCCTCTGTTGTGGTGGGGGTAGCTGGTGCTGCTGAGTATGCCTTTTTTGAGGGGGGCCTCAGAGAAAGGTTGCCGGTCCTCTGTGTGTGTGTGTGTGTTTGTGTGCGTGCGCACACACCTGTGGAGGGATTGCCCCGTTCTGTTTAATTTCATGGGTACCGGTGGGGGCTTTTCTCCTTTGGCAAGGTGATTCTGTGAGGATTTTTTTTAAAAAAATTGTCATGCCCTCCCCCCCCCGCTAGGCGGTTGCTGGCGCTCCCTCCCTTCTCCGCTTCTTCGTCCTGCTGCTGCTGCTGCTGGTAGTGAAGAAGGAGCCGGAGGGGG